GGTGAAATGGCACGGTTCAGTATGCTGCCTTGCACATACGATAGTGCAACGTCACGACTACACGACAGACCACTAACTCGGCCCCTTTCAGGGCCTTTATCCATACAACTACACTCACCTTTCTCTCTCTACTTTCTCTCCCTCTCCCACCCTCGCCCACGTGCTACCATTGGTCCACTCCCATACCTGCTCCCATTGGCTCGGGGCAGGCTACACCTTTCACTTCCCTGCCTATAAAATCCACATCCTCACACCCTTTTGGCATATTCATCGCCCTGATGACGGAGGCAGTATGACCTCTGAAACGTTGGTTAACATCGACCAGACTACACAGCGCAATAACCCAGAAGACAGAAATCTTCATAAGTATAACTTGTTATTGATAATAGAACTATCATGATTATCGCGTTATTAACGTCTTGTGTAATCTGACATCAAACGAAGGGACGAAACAGTCTGAAACACTAGTTAGTGATCTGTAGTAAGGTGTTAATAATTTTTTTCCTGTCGAGTATTATTACATACAGAGTAACGTCATTTGTCTTAATTGTTTTTGAAACGGGATGTACAATCGCAGCTTGTAAAAGGTGGTGTGTTTACTTCGCAGGCTTACGTCCATGAATTGATACCCCGTTGTTAAACCATATTTAATATCTGTTTCATTACTATCCTTCCGTCTACTCTTAGTTCTCGCAAGTGATATCTTCCCTTCATGTTTTCAGGCTAAGATTATGTATTTTAATCTCCCATGCGTGCAATATTCCCTACCCATCTCGTACTCCGTAATTTGACGACCCTAAAACTATTCGGTTAAGGGTGAAAATCGTGAATCCCATTGCGTAGTTCTGCTCAGCCTTCTGTTACTTCCTTTCTCTGTTGTTCAGATAATATTTTCTCAGCTACACTTAGTACTTGTTCATTCTTTATGTCAAGAGACCATGCTTTTAAATGGATACAAGAAGGATGAAAAGTTTGGTTTTAATCGATGCATTTTGGATGAGACAGGGATATAGACCCAAATGTATAAGATTTTTCAAAAACCTTATCATTATGGCGCAAAATGTATATCACTTTCGTATCTGCAAATTTTGTTTCAGACGTTTTCCGGTGTAGTGATTAAGGAAATACAGAATTCAGTAATTTCCATATCTTGTGCATATGATGTCTGTGCTACTAGGCCAGTCAGATATGAAATATTACCAAGAACTCATTTGAAAAAAAAAGTATGTACTCGGTTTACTTTGCCTAGTAACTTAATATATTACACGCGAAATAATGTATTTAAATTCTTATTTAAGCTGGTTTAGTACTTGGAACCACTGCGTTAAACTGGCGTGTAAAATTTACATCCGTCATACTTGTGTTTCTCATTAGCTATAACTTGGCGAATTTCAAGTCGTGTTGTGGTCTGTTCCCCAA